AGCAGTCATGCCTGGTATATTGAAATCAACAACATATCAGTGAAATGGTATCTGAAAATGAAATGACACATGAAACAAAAGTGAAATAAGGTAATAATTATTGACCCATTACCACCCATCAGCCCACCACCATGGTGTTTACAACTGGGCGAGTGCCACTGGCATGACCTGACCGAGTTTGAACCTGACCGAGTTTGAATCTGGCCGAGTTTGAATCTGGCTGAGTATTCTGTGTGAACAGTGGATCAATTTTTGTTATTTACCCTGCTGCTGTGTGAATAGTCAAATTAAAAACAACTTCTCACCTCTTGATGTAATCTTGATCTCTGAAAAACATGGAGTCCAACTGAGCTTTGTGATTTTGCCATTCCATCCAATTCAAATCAATAAATTGAGTTGCCTGTCCGATGCTTGATTCCCTAGGTAACTTGTCAATTGTGGGTTTATAATCTGGTTTTACATCTCTGATATCTTGAATACGATGTTCATGAATTTCGTGTTTGGATATTAACTGAGGATCATCGACAGATGTTTTAAAACCTTTCAAACTTAACTGTCTTTCCTTTCGGATTTCTTGTCTGTATATGTCGTCGTAGTCTTTAGATTTAGGCTTTCCTCTTTTCGTGTGCTGACTTTCATTGCTGCTGCTACTACTGCTTCTGCTACGTCGTCGTCTTCTTTTGCGGTGTGTTAACATTTCATTTCGACTGTGTCTGCTGCGTTCCCCCGACTTTGCCGGACTGCGTTCGCGGTATTGTTCTCGTTCCTTGCTATCATGTTGATGTCGCTTGTGGTATCGCCTTCTCGCGTGACTGTCGGACGAATCGTCACGGTGCTCTCGATCTCGACCGCGATCGTTCCGTTTGTGATAGTGCTTAGACATGTGTGCGTATATAGCAAACTCATTTCTCGTAGAACATCGCACTGACGCCGCCGATATGAAATATCGTGACTCAAAACAAGCGCATCGAAAGAGAGAATCCTACAACTGCATAATCAATGCAACACAGTAGTTAATGTTTCAGAGCCCGGCAAACTTGCGTTTTCAAACAATAACAAAGTTGGTGCATTTAAGGGCGCAGCCATTATGGTTCACGCATTTTCTCGTGTGAACAGCCCGAGAACAGAGCCACGGCGAGGGACCGGCCATGCAATTGTTGGGAGGGCATAAATTAGGACACGCTCAATCATGTAATGTGTTTTTTAATGCAATACGTATGTTAATTAATACATCCCAAAATGAAAAACTAGTATCCCTAGAACAAAATGGGTGGAAAGTGTTAAAAAAAGTTTTTTTCCGACAAGAGCACAAATTAAAATTGGTATATCATGAAGGTCATTGTTTCTGGAAGAGGGGGTAAGGAGGGGGAATTGATCGCAAAAGTATACCCTACTAGAGGCCGATAAAGAGTTAAAATGTAAATAAGCATGTTCCATACAAGAATTTATTCACGTCTAAGCAACATAGAACGCTCCCCGTAAATATACAGAGTATACTGCCGATTGAGCAGCGGACTGGGACTGTGAGATCTAAACCCATAATCTCCAGCGATGACGAATACGCTAACTATACTGGTCTCATGCCACTAATCAACCAATGACCGTTCAGTTTACTAGTAAATGCCTTGCAAGAACCAAATAAGGTGCTCCCTGTGGTCTTTTGTTTACTACTAACTTAGCGGCTGTGTACCTGTGGGTTTATTCTGTGTGTATTTGGATGTTCTAATCTTGGTGTTTTTCCAGTGATTTCTCTAGGTGCAATCGTGCAATCCAAAAACATGTTAGTTTTTTTATGTGGTTTATTACAGGCTTGTTGATTTCCCATTTTAGAGCCATGTTTTCAACTTTGTTTATCATTTTCATATAGCAATCTCCTCATATGTTAACATTGTCGTCTATGGAAATTCAATTTAGTGGTATGAGCCATGTCTATGTGACCTCATTGACACAAAACGAACATATGGACGTACCCGATACGGGTCTGCACCACACACTTATTGTACGGCACCCGGAACTAACTTTCGTTGCGTGTCGGACCGCTAGCTAACCATATCAATTTTATCATCTCAGATAGAGTCACTGAACTCCAGAACTCTCGTCATTTGATATGACTCAGCAATATGACGTCACAAGTCGCGTCTCCAATCTTATACTTTCAATTTATTTATACAAGGGGTAGGACAAGTACCTAGTGCGGACCACAGTACGAGAAAAGTGAACGACAAGACTAAGTCTTGTGGAGGTGGAAATTGAACCTTAGTAACAGAGTGAAATATGGTGGATATTTAATAATTTTACAAGTCATTGGTGTACAATTACCGAAATTTAAATTATTATTATATAATTGTCTGAAACTTATTGAGCTTGACTACAACTTAGGATTCTGACTGAGAATTAGCCAGCCAATGAGATCGAATTAATTCCTACCAATCGACAAGCTCGTTAAATCACAATCACAATCAGCTCATTTCTCTTTTCGTCAATCATGTACAAGGCCAGACCAATTTCAACCAGTCATGTTCAAGTCCAATATTTACTTGTGTATTTAAAGTAGGAGACGATGCATCTCATCGGGAGTTCTATCAATGAAGTCATTTGTTACGTTGTCACATTCATCCACTCCTGAACTTGAACCTACTCTTTTTAACAATTCCCACAATAATGTTGTAACCCGATAAATTGATAGCGACTTTTATTACATTCACATAATTCTTCAAGTTCCGGTCCCGGGGGGCTACTTCCATAGCAGTGCAATACGGGTATGTGCCCCCGACTGGGGTGTCATTTCACGTTATTTTGTTTAGAAGTGGGTAGCCATTTATCAATGGTTTGGTTTAGAAATGTGTAGCATTTATTTGCTTTTTCACAGATCCTTATATTAAAAGCCAAATACTGGAAAAGGTTGAATAAAATGCATTGCCCGGATGCGCTCACTGGTTGCGAAAGTTGTGAGCTGGGTGTTTTTTTTTTTTTTTCGCTGAAAACACTTGTGTTTAGAAGTGGGTTCCGGTTGACATCGTGACTATTTTTGTACCACTTAAATACCTCTCCAATTTTATTTCCGTGTTGCTTTCACTCTTGACGCCAGGTATCATAGCGATAACACGAACTATGGGACACACGCTTGCGTACTTCTCTGCTTTGGTGGCTATTTTGTCCTTGACAGGTAAGATATTCTATTTATACACGGTTAGTACTCTCTTCTTGTGTAGGAAGGACGGTCTGTTTCCGCTGTTGTGAGTGAAATTGCCCAAGTACTGTACACGAAACTGTACACTTACTGTTTCAGGAAATGGCCTGACTACGATGCAATCGTTATTGCTTACATTAGCGCTACTATCTCTGTTGCGCTTTCCTTGACCGTCGTAATATTAAATACAATGCTGGTATTGTTATGTAATATTTCGTTTTTCTTCAGCTTAAAAAATACACGTCTAAAAATAAACACATAACACCGAATACATTACACAATGGCGTACTTTCCATGATGTAGTAATGGCCGTGTCAGTCGGCAGACTCCGGTTAATGATATAACCATATCACGTAGACTAAGTAAAGCGAATTTTTTTACCCATAGACCTTTAGGTTTTTGATGAAGTGGAAAGCTTGTGTATAATGGTTTTAGTTGGTACCGGGTTTACTTAATCATAAAATGTATGCTTTACATAAATTATGTTATTCGATAACATAGTATGTTGACTGCCGCTATGTATACGAGCAAGGGACTGTCTGTTATTTCAGGTGTGTGTGAAGTATGGTCATCATCGCCGTATCATGGAAAATTCATCAGTGATTTCACCACGTTGGCTCACGGCGTGACTGGTACGGTTTACGCAGTGGACGACCATCGCATTAGGATTGTAGGCTTTAACTATGACGGTGCCGCACCCGGTAAGTGCATGTAGTCACGTGATACTTTTGTTTAATTGTATTACGATTCCTGGAAATGATTGTATGCACATGCGGATGTTGTCTGGCAATCTTAGGGATGATGTCATATCCGCACATTCACATATACGAGATTCGAATTTCAAATGAAGGTTTAGTTTAGTTTATTAAGAATACGTAATATTCCTCAGAAGGAATTAAAGTTGTAACAGAACAAAATAGGGAAAAAATGCAGCACAATATGAAATACAAATAAAAAACCTGTGTGAAAACTATAACTACGAATTGAGGTGTTGCTATTTTTTTTGTATCTGTATTTATTTTGATAATTTTAGCAAGTGCAATTATGTAATATTTTTGTTACTCATTGGGAATATAAATTTGTCATCTAGACTGTCGAAAAGGTTGTAAAATTGGTAAAAACTGGCCGTGCAAACTATAATATAGTGCTTTTCGTTTATAACAGGGATACCCCATCGGGGCCGCGTGACAGAGAACTTGAAGAGCGACAGACTACACCGCATATTCGAACAACTTAAAATAGCATGATAACGGTTAAATTAAAATCAACCATCCTTGCAAATATCACGCTATTCATATTAAAGCTTGATGGTACAGTTACTTAATTGTTTGTTTTAGGCCCAACATAAGGAAATACGTTTTTATGTTGTCAACGTTCTAAGGCTCTATTAAAGCAGGAGGGTCGTCACCTGCGCACGCGCGGGGATTGAGTGTCAAGCGACGATAACAACACATGCTAAAACGCAAAGGCTCATGGGTAGACGCTTGTTTGTAAGCAATGACACGTTATGGCCATCTGACGCATGCGCAGGTGACGACTCTCCCGCTTTAACATACTAGTATCAGCCGTAGTATAATTTGATTGATCACATATTGAAGTTTTATTGTCGGCAAGACTTTTTTAAAATATTTATTTATTTAACAAATAAAGACAAACGCATACAAAGCAGAAAATTAGATGAACTGAAAACAAAAAATTGCAGAAAATAAAATACATAACAATACATTGAGTCCTGTTACGAAATTAAATTTATGAACATATTTCCCCACCTTTGTCTCAATTTTTTGTGACCTTCCAGATTAGAGATGGCGATGTCTGTCTGATAGTTAAACTTGAATATTTAGAATAATAAATGTGAAATTCACAAATCAAGATCAAATTATCTATCTGTGCTGTTGAGTGTTTATCATTACCTAATAATATATTAATGTAAAATGGTGTATATCTATACAGTCATTTTGGTCTTTAATCTATTTAACAAAAAGTGACCAAGCAATTTGTATAATACTAGTAGATGACTCGACTCGCAGAATGTGTACGAAGCCGATTCTGTTTTCCTCATTTTAATTCAAATATAGTTAGTAGCTAAATACCTATTTATTGAGAAAACACCAACAAACAAACAAGAGTTTGTATGCAAGACTAGAGTACACTATAACAAATTCCGTCATGCATTCATTCCTGTTCAAATTTTGCTTCGGGTACGCGCTAAACACAACTAACCTGGGAAGTATGTAATTTTCAATGTTCAGAATTCGCTCGGAAGCAGTGGTAACACGAGTAAAATGACCACCCTTTAAAGCGGGGGAGTCGTCACCTGCGCATGCGTCAGATGGCCATAGCGTGTCGTTGTTTACAAACAAGCGTCTACCCATGAGTCTTTGCGTTTTTAGAGTGTGTTATTATCGTCGCTTGGGACTTAACTCCCGCGCGAGCGCACTGCAGGTGACGACCCCCCGCTTTAATTTTGAAAAGAAGAAACCTAAAGGCGATACGAGCAAAATCTGTTTTTATTTATTTTAGGGGTATGTCATTTCGAAGTTTTATACAACAAGACATTAAATTTGTTTGTCATATTCATTGTAGTGACTTTTATCAAACAGTGCAGCGTGTCTGCAGTCATTTCATAGTCCCTTAGCATAACAAAATATTAAACTTCATTTTGCAGTCCCACACAACAAGAATTAAGATGAAACTGTTTGTCATTTTTTTGGGCTTATATAACAATTTATTAAATTGATATGCAACATGCCATTTCTTTGACCTTCTTAAAAATAAGGTTTTAATCGGTATGACACAGGTCATTTCACTCCGGTATAAACAATGTGTTAATCGTTATGGAACTCAACATTTCACTTTCAGACGCTTTTTTCTGGGGCGGTACAACCGACGAACCTGGTTCGTCTGGAGAAGTCATTCCCGATGAATTTGGAAGGTAGATTGTTTATTAATATTCATACTATAAATGCAATTGTATTGATAACGCAAAATTGTGACACAATATTCAGCGTGACACACGACATCCAACATACATCTATCAACGGGTTCGTGACACACGACATCCAACATACATCTATCAACGGGTTCGTGACACACGACATCCAACATACATCTATTAACGGGTTCGTGACACACGACATCCAACATACATCTATTAACGGGTTCGTGACACCCGACATCCAACATACATCTATCAACGGGTTCGTGACACACGACATCCAACATACATCTATCAACGGGTTCGTGACACCCGACATCCAACATACATCTATCAACGGGTTCGTGACACACGACATCCAACATACATCTATCAACGGGTTCGTGACACCCGACATCCAACATACTAGTTGCTTATGGCAAACCATACTCTAGCACCAGCCTTAGCTGTCTTCTTAAAAAAACAGCTATGGAACAAAACAGCAACAACTATCAGTGTATTCGGCTACATTTTGTGTTGATTCTATATTCTGTATTCGCCATTGGCTGCAAATTGTCTTTATTGTTTTTGATTTGTTTTATTTTTTTAGAAAAGTTTTTCTTTTTTGTTTTCTTTTTTAGATTGTAGTTTTTTTTTTTTAAATTTCTTTCTGTAAGACCCTTTTTATCCTTTCCTAAGGATTTTATGCGTCTAATAAAAAATGAAAAATACAGTTGAAGACGGATCAGTGGGACACGGCAGTCAACAAATAGTTCAGAACGTGATCGTGACACAAGACAGCAGTCAACATGTAGTTAAACACGGATTTGTGATATTCTGCGTATTTTTTTTCAGAACCGCTACCAAACTAGGAACGTACATTAATCGTAGCATTACCATTACTCTGCCCGACGGTAAAACTATCAATAACTACAGATGGGTGTCAGTATGGTGTAGAGATTTTACCGTAAGTATGCAAGACAAGTCTGCTTGGTCTTTGTTAAAGTTTTTATGTTTTGTTTTCTGCCTTCTTTTCCTTGTCGCCCTATAACCTAAATAAAACGCCGTTTGCCCGTAGACTTCTGAAACTTCCCAAACATATTGCGGACCATGAGAACTGGTGCATCTTAAGGCACCCTGACACTTGCACGACTTTTGGCCACGATTTTGTAGTGGCAAGTCGTGCCATTTTGGGACACGAACTGGGAGGCTCCCGCACTGTTCACGACTAGTTGACGACGAGTTCACGAATAGTTCACGAATGCGTGCTCATCAGTGTCCACATTGACAGGACGAGTTCACGCATGTTTTGCACATTGTCTACGCACTTCCCGCATTGGCACGTGAGCTGTTCGTGAACTATTCGTGGCTGTTCGTGACAGTCGTGGCATGGCGCGCACTGCCACGTACTGGCACGCATCTTTTCGCTTCGTCCCGACGGGGTAACGAACAGTTTGCGCATAGTTCACGACCCGGTCGCAAAATTTTGTCGTGACCAAAATTTTGAACATTTCAAAATTCTTGTCCCGACATGGCACGCAGTCACGACGGGTTTACGCACACTTCACGCCAGTATACGACTAGTTTGCGCACTGGTACGGCTCTAGTCGTGCCAATGCGTGCCACAGAATCGTGCAAGTGTCAGGGTGGCTTTATTTTCAGAGTACTGATTCAGACTGATTGGTCGGCAGGTTTAGCAGCCGTCTAAGATTGAAATTAGGAAGTGGCTATTTTGTTATGGTCCTTTAGATTGAAGCAATGGAAACTTCAATAATCACGTGACTTTGTCGTCCTTTTTTGTGAAAAACCCTCCAGCAGGAACGCATATTTCTCTTCTTTCTACAGAATGGCTGGTCCGATTGACTTAAAACTTCATATATCACCCTTCAAGTGTGGAAAAAGAAACTACATGTATTATGTCACGTGATTAGGTGGCCATCTTGAACTGAAATTAAACAGGAAGTGGATATTTTACCATTTTCGGAGAGTTTAAGCGATCTGATTTTTTGTATAACATACCACCATTTAGATACATATACAATATTTATAAGCAATAATTGTTCAGTAAATAAACAGCAAAAACGTGCATATACTAGTAGCTGGAAAATGATTTTTTTAAGTATTTTTTTGTTGTTATTATTGTGTATGTGTTGCTTTTTATTACGTATGCCTTACTCCTTTATATTGCCAAACACCTTGAAAAAACTAAACTAAAAAGTACCATAATAAATTGAATTAAATTAAATTAAATTAAAATAAAATAAAATATATACAAATAAATAATTAAATACATATTAAAAAAGTCTATTTTAGCTTAACATTCAGCTGGCAGTCCTTTAATCTATCTGTCTGTAGGTTGATTTTGGACACATCTATATTCCAAACAACTTCGATGCACCCCTTGAATACGATGCAGGACCATTTAGGGAATATGCTCATGGCTTGAAAGGCCACGTGTACATCACGGATTCCAGGACATTTAGAATCGAAAATCTGCATTATGACGGGAACGGACCTGGTAAGAGAAAGGGATTCATGTTTTATTACAATTATATCGTGGGAAAACCTATCATTTGTTCCTGTTTCACAATTAACTGGTCGTTTTAATTGATTGGTTATCACTTTCTCAATAGATGCATACTTCTGGGTTGGAACTGGGTCATCGCCGCACCGACGCGGTAGCAAAGTACCAGATGAGAACGGCAGGTTAGTAGTCATGGTATTTTGATGTCTACAGTTCAGTGAAACCATTCGTAACTACAGTTTGTGTATAGAAACTGTTCGCGCTGACTTCTCTACGGTGAACCACAGATGTCACATCATTTTTACTTCCGGCAGCATAAACTTAATAATTTCTAGAAACAATCATGATTTCGCATACATAACTTCAATTTACTAAACTTTTCATGTTGTTTAATATCGTCTGTAGACACCAATATACTACTCTACATCATGCACGTGCTTTGTATAAACTAGTATGTGATCTTTTAATCGTCAATGGAGTCAAATCGATTTGATCAACTGTTTATACTAATATCCGATCTACACTGGGGTTGCCTTGGGAAAAATTAAGAATTATAAATTTAGTTTCACGAATTAGAATTTTAATTTGTGAATAAAAGTTGTTTTTCAAGAGATTAAAGGGCGGTGGTCGTCGCGTCCCGTCCTATTCACTATTGGACTCATAGCGACGAGTAAAATACATTGTTTGTTTACATTGAATTCGAACACGCGCTACGCGACGACCCCCGCCCTTTAAGGTTGTGTTGCATGAATGTTTTGCTCCGTAAACTAAAGTTTTGTTTTAAGAAATTAAAGTTTTGTTTTATTTTTTATGGACCTTTGAGTCTGAAAAAAAGTATAATAATAAGATTAGTTTTCTGTTGCGGAATGACATGACACTGAGAGCTACCGTACGTATTTAAACCGTACAACTCTTAACTGTCTTTGATTTGATACTGTGTACCCCTTAATGAGAGATTGCGAACCTTGTCGGACATTTACGGCTTGCACATCTGCGAAGTAGGACTTGTCTTGCATTCAGTGGTATTGTATTGTTGGCGATATATACATGATTTCCAATGACGTGTACTATTACAAAAAATAAAGTATTACTAATAATATATATGTCTTCTTAACTATCCAGTACCAGAAAACTGAGCGGGTACAACGGTGATACAATATCTATAACAATGACCTCTGAGATGACTGTGTTCGACATTGATTGGTTATCGATGTGGTGCGTGGCAGCAGTCCAAAATTTCGGCCATGTTGATATACCAGACAAAAGCGAGTTGAATATCCCGCCTTACATTGACGACTCGTCTGATGTATGTAGTCTTCGTTTGTTATTCTTATTACTCAGCTTTTCAAGTTTATACAATTATTTAAATGGCGGTTTTCGTCGCACAGCACCCAGGCCCGTAGCCAGCACTTTTGAATAGGGGGTTCGAAAACAACAATAAATGATATACTTGATGTGAAATTTTATAATATTCAAAAAGTGTGTTTGAGCTCTGTTACATACATTTTTATATTCTCGGTTTTTAAATTCAATTGGTTTACTTTGTGTTACGTTGGTAAATTATTCCACATAAGATTTTTGAACTATTTTACCATTTTAGAGAAGGGGTCTTAGGCCATTCCCCACCCACAGACAAACACACCCACACCGTACCCTTGATCCATTACGGCAAAATGTTGTACACAAAAAAGGCAAGACTGTACGTATCTTAGCATTATTGTCCAAGCATTTTAACGTAGAATGCTACTCACGAGCTTTTTCGCTCTTCACAGATGTTAGCGCACATAAAAGTGACACAATTTCATGTCGAAATCTGTCTACAATTATTCATTTTAGTATTTTAGTCAATTATGTAATTTTATTTCTGTACAGGGCCTCACCACATCGTACAAAATGTACA